CCATCTCGATGCTGCGTTTTCGTTGTCTTGTCCAGCTTCTCCGATTTGTGCTCAGCATAATGACTGCATGCGGATGGCAAGGGAGGTAGCCCTGACAGGCACCTTTCCTGATTTTGAACGAGGCAGCCGTCCCTTGTTCTGTCGGAATGACCGTCTCGGTGTATGTGCAGGTTCCACACGAGTACAGAAAGTCTTTTAGAATTCTCATTTTCACAGTGTTAGTCATGACCCACATAATCGAATGCCTTTGCAGAGTCAATAAAACAAGGAAACATCTTCCTGGTATTTTCTGCTTTCGGTCAAGATCCAGTGATCGCCCTTGGGCCATGTCCTTTTCTATCTCCGGCTCAGATTCCTGGCAAGTCCCTGTCAGTGTACAGCTGCAGCCACTTCTGCGTGACCTTCAGCAATGCTTTCCTCGTGTCTGAGAGCAGCCACACTGTGCGCTCTTTCTATATTCGGTTGGGCCCTTTCTTTGGGGAGGGCACAGAGAGCTATGTCTTCCAGTCGCACATTTCTGGACATAGGCGAGTGCGCACTTCGCGGTGGCATCTGTCTTCAGCTCTAACGGAGCTGTGTGGAGAGTGACTGCCCATCTGTTCTGCAGTCAGGCCCTGGCCTTCTTCTGACTGGTGATCCTCAGCTTCCCCTTCGCCCCTTTCCACGCAGCAGTTGATCTGATTCCGGTGGATTCCATCTGGTGAGGTCCGTGTGTGTAGGTGTCATCTACGCTGTTGGACAGTAGTGCTTGCCGTGAATAAGCTGTTGGTGGTCTGGTTTGGTTTCTGGTGTCATTTCTGTGACGAAGGCCAGATTCCCTGGGGACAGGTCTTGTCCCTGACAGCACTGTCCTTGGGGAAAGCGCCTGATAAAGTGGCTGACGACGATGCAATGCCATTGCTCCTGAGTGCGGCTCTCTTGGCAGAGTGGACTGCACGCGCGTCCATCCACGGGGGCCATAGCCAGCCCATCTCAGCTCTCTGATGCCAGGCTGTGATCTGCATGCATCCCACTTCCTTTTTAATAGCTTCCAACTTCCTACTTGCACACGTTGTACGATCCATGCTCTGACGGTTGATGGGCCTTTGCGCCTACCTCTTCCCGTTTCGAGGGACGCCACTCAGCAGATGGCGGTCTTGACAGCTCCGCACACCGTCCTGTGAGGTCGCCTCCCTTGGGAGAGGCAGTTCGCCCTCCCCCGGCTGTGGTCTGAGTCACAGGTGCTCATCCTCCCGCGCTGTGCAGACAAGGTTCTGCTTCAACCCTCAGGTGCACGCCAGCCCGCTGTCTCAGCAGCCTGCTGCCAGGCCTGCCCGTTTCCCCAGTCTCAGTCTGCACTCTGAGGACATGGAGTCACCATGGGTGACCTGCTGGCATCTGACCGTTTGGGGAGGTGACGAGGAAGTGGAGGTCTTACCATCCACTCTAACCAGCTCATTGCTGAGGACGAGCACGCGGCCCAGGAGAGTGCACAGGGCTGCCGACCGGCTTCCTGGAGCAAGAGCAAGCCAGGGTCCTTCTCTTCCGTAGTATTAGGTGGGGGGGCAGTCCCCCATCGCTAACCACGGGTTCAGTAAGCACAATTGTACGGTTGAGATGTACGTATATTATATTAAAGTCATTGAGAGCATGAGCGATAGAAGAGATGTTACAATAATGCAGTCAGACACATTTTATGGTAGCATTGTTCACCTCAGCCCTGCTTGGTGGTCCACGTGGAGAGAGAGAGAGAATCTTTAATGCCAACCATTAAACCTTTCTGTTTCCCACATGGGACCACCTTGGCTGAGGCTGGAAACCTGGGTGGGGCTAGTCCCAGCAGGCTGCCAGAGTCCTGGGTGGAGCTCTCAGGGGGGGCTGTCCTCAGGGCACTCTCCTAGTCCCTAATCATAAAGCCACACTGTCCCACGGAACACAGCTGTCAACGCCCAGAGTATTGACAGAGACTAACACAAGGCCATCAGGCCACAAGGAGGCGGGAAAACATGGTCCAAGCTCTTGTGACCACTCCAGACGGGACACCAGCTGTCTTGGGCTGGGTTCTCTGGGGAAGCTAAACCAGGGAAGCTTTCATGTGCCTAGTAGGTCCGGGGCAGGGTTAGATCAAGGAAATAGCTCCCTTGGTCCATGGGTCAGGTGTTGGGCTGGGGGCTTCTCCTGACTCCTGTACCGCCAGGGACTGACGAATCCAAGGTGCACAGGAAGATGCAGGCTTGTGGCTACAGATGCAAATGAATCTGAGGTCGGCAGGTAAAATGGCAAGTTGCCGATGACTCTCAGGCAATTAGGTCAAGCTTTTGGCTCAAGTCCAGAGAACTGGACATGTACTGCCAGAGCAGGATCCAGGCCCAGTGAAAAGCAAGTGAGCTTTTCCACAGTCTGCTTCTATGGGAAGCAGGCCACACCCTGAGGAGGTCACAGCGTGGTGGGGGACGGCGTGGTTATCTCTAGGTCTTGACGGCCAAACACTGAGCATGCTGGCCCAGCCAAGTCCACGCAGAACCTTGTCCACCCTTGTCAACTGGGCGCCTGTATACGGCTCCTTAAACCCTGCATCAAGAGGAAATGAAGACGGTTGGGCCCTCCCCACTGCCACCAACCCCCAAACAAGGACTTGGAAGCCAGCAGGTATGGCTGTGGCCACCCTCGGGGCGCAAAGTCCACGGAGTGACTGCAGGCCAGCGTGTGGGCCTGGGGTCAGGCCAAGCGGTCGGCCAGTGTCCTGGTCCCCACACGGACAGCCACCCTGGGTCTCAACCCCACTTCCGTCTGGAACCCAGCCTGGTGCTAGTGCCTGAGCAGTGAAAGGAGGGGGCAGCTGCTGCCCTGGGGGAGACCCACACCCCTGCCTGGGGCTATGGGGCCATAGGCCGTGGGCAGTCCATTGGAGCATGTCAAGAGGTCACGGCTCCCAGACCCAGTGCCGCCCAGAGCTCAGCTGTGAGCAAGTGGGGCCTGTAACCCAACGGGACACCAAGGCTGACTGGGGGCTGACACCAGCACAGCGGAGTCAGGGGAGCACAGCCCAGCACTGGGCCGGCGGGAGCCCCCACCCCCGGCACAGAGGTGTGGTCTGAAGGTGTCTGTGGGCGTGTCGGGAGCAAAGCCCTGCAGGGGGGCCAGCGGAGGGGAAAGGGGAAGGTCCTGCGACGTCCTTCCTCTCTGAAGCCTCCAGAGCTCATAGGACAGCCCCTCAGTGTCTGCAGGGTGAGGACCACCTGGTCAGCACCAGCCCCGTCCTGGTCCAGTGTGCCTCTGACCCAGACTGCACGGCAGCCCCACATGGGCTCTTTGACTTCTGCTCACAGACAGGACAGCCTGGCCATCACCTGAGACCACGCCCAGGTGGCACTGCCCCAGGGATCACAGGGCTGGGATGGCCCATTTCCAGGTCCTCCAGCAGATCATGAGACACACGGACGGACAGACAGACGGAGAGCTGAGGACCCAGCGGGCAAACCAGCTCAGGGTCCCTCTGCCGGGTCCCTGGTCGTCACCTGTTACTGTTGCGGTCTGGACGTAGAGCCACCCCCCACTCCAGGCACCCAGGGGTGTGGTCTCTGCCTGGGGAATGGGCTTAAGCCCCTCCAGCCCCACTGAGTCCCCATCCCTCCCTGCAGGCCCCTCGAACCCACGCCAGAAGGCCGTGGTGGACGCCTTCCGCCACGCGTGGA